TGTATATATATATATATATATATATATATATATATATATATATATATATATATATATATAGTCTCCTTCAGTGGCTGAAAAAATTACAACAATATTATTAAGGCGTCTTTTATACATGTCGTCCTAATTAGAATTGTGTATAGGCTTAATGTAAAGCTTGGTGGAAACAGTTTTACTACCCAACCGAAACCAATTACCCTTCTTAGACACGATGGTTTCCTTTAATCCGGAGAGTAAAACTGTTTCACCAAGTTTTACATTAAGCCTATACACAGTCGTCGTATCACACCCTGGGACAGTTACAGACCCATCGCTACTAAGCGCCCAATTCTCATTGGCGAAACCAAGCGGGCAGTTACATGTTCAATCGGCAGTTATAATCTTAGTTGGGGATCTAAACTGCGACGTTAACAAACTAGCTCCTGATTCACAAACTCATAAACTGCAAACTTTATGCCTCTTATATCAATTAACTCAAGTCATTAATGAACCTACGAGAATTACGGAGACAACATCGACACTGATAGACTTAATACTTACAAATAAACCTGAATATATTTCGACTGGTGGTGTTTTACACCTTGGTATATGCGATCATAGCTTAGTCTATGCTGTAAGGAAACTTGAATTACCTAAATCTAAACCAACTATAAAAGAAGTCGGCGATTTCAAACACTTTTCTGAATCGTAATACTGCGCTGATTTACTGCAGGTACCCTGGGATACAATTTGCTTCGATGATCCCAATGCATGCTGGATTGTATGGAAATCAATTTTTTACGAAATTTTAAATAAGCATGCCCATGTACGCCAAAGAAGAACTAAGGCTAAAACGGTCCCATGGATTACACCTGCTATTAAACAACTAATGAGGAATAGAGATTACCATAAAAAGAAAGCCATTAGATTTAAATCATCAATTCACTGGGATAAATACAAATCCTTACGGAACAGAGTAAATAAGCAAATGCATAAAAGCAAAATTGATTTTTACATATTCAAATGATTTAAAAAAAATTTCTTCCCTTATAAATTCCCTTACTGGAAGGAATAACAAATCTTCCAGTATTACAGAAATATCTCTGAATGACAACAGCATTACCGATTCTATATTAATCGCTGAAACGTTTAATGAATATTTTGTTAACATTGGCCCTAGCCAGCCTAGCTTCTGAAATTAGCGAAGAGCCTGAAGCTGGTGAAGAGCCTCTTACTCAACACCCTACGAATAGCTACAATAATTCCAATCCTATAACAGATACGATATTCCATTTCCATCGTATTAATGTAGAAAACGTTTTTTCTGGCATTATTGAACCTTTAGATAAATAAATCTACTGGCCTTGATAAAATTCCAGCCAATGTTCTCAGACTCTCTGCAGATATTATTTCCCCGTCATTAACGTATATATTTAATTTATCACTTGACGTGACACTGGTATTTATGTTGATGACTGGAAACGCGCGCGAGTAATTCCAATTTACAAATCTGAAGATCGACGGAAATGTGAAAATTATAGGCCAATTTCCATACTCCCCATTGTAAGTAAAGTTTTTGAGAGAGAGGTTTTTCGACAGCTTTATGGCTATCTTTCCAATAACTCATTAATTTCTAAATTTCAATCAGGGTTTAGACCTAACACTCAACCCTGTCTTCGTTGATACAAATGTGTGATAATTTACTTAAAAACATGGATAGTGGTCAAATAGATTGTATATTTCATGATTTATGGAGTCAAAGGCTTTTCTAACATCAAGAAAGACTTCTTGATGTTAGAAAGGCCTTTGACTCCATAAATCATGAAATTCTGATTGATAAAATGCGTAATTTTTTCGGAGTAACAGGAAACCAACTAAGATGGTTCGAATCATAACGGAATAACAGAATTCAAGAATGTCTTATAAACGGACAACTATCGAGCCCAAAAAAGATAATATGCGGTGTTCTCCACAGGGGTCCATCCTTGGACCTCTATTATTTTTATTATACATATAAATGATATGCCTGACTCGTTAAGTCACTTAACTCCTTCACTCTATGCTGATGACACTGAAATTTATGCATCTTTTAATGACTGCGGCGACCTTGTCGACAAGGTAAATATTGATCTCGAAAACATACGCAAATGGATGATACACAATAAACTTCAAAACCACCCCAGTAAATCGAAACATATGTTCATAGGATCTCTCTATAACCTTAAGAATAAAGTATCTGGTAATCCTTCTTTAATTAGTAATTAGCCAGAACACAGGATAATAAATATTCATGCCTTGGCGTGACTATGGACGAAAGGTTGTCTTGGGATAAACATATATATATTGATTCAATCTGTTCTAAAGTTGGTGCCGGTATTGGTGCAATGAGACGTGTTAAACCTTTTGTACCTCTGTCGACAACCAAAATGCTATATAATGCTATTATACAGCCTTATTTCGATTATTGCAGCCCGTTGTGGGATAATTATGGAATTTGGCTCAAAGATAAGTTGCAAAAATACCAAAATCGTGCTGCAAGAGTAATTACTGGGGCAACTTACGATACTCGGTCATCTGAGTTACTCAATAATCTAAACTGGAAACCTCTAGAAGAATGACGAAATTATCTTAAATCTATTTTCGTCTGTAAAATTCTGAATGGCCACACCGCACCCAATCTTAAAGAAGCATTTCATTTTAATAATGAAAGACATAATACTTACAATCTTAGAAATAGGGATACTGATTTAGCACCACCTTTGCCGAACAAAGGATTCAGCAAGAGGTGCATCAGTTATAATGGTGCCTTGCATTGGAATAATCCTCCCCAAGAGGCAAAAATTGCTGAATCCCTTAGCTCTTTCAAGTCGATATTGAAACAAAGAATGAGTTGAAATTTGCTTGTGTGTAATCGTGCATCTAAAATCTCCTGTATTTTATTTTGTTACATTTTGTATTTCCTGTATATAGTTAACTTCTTATAAATAGGTAATTTCACGCCCCTCATGGAAACCAGCCTTCCAACGGCTGTTGAGGCTAGCGTGGTTTAAATAAAGTTTTGTATGTATGTATGTATGTATGTATGTATGTATTCCACTTCACGTAGAGAATCATTGCATCAACTTACAGAACTTTTTGTTAATATTGGGTATCCTAACAAATTTGTTAAATCCACAATTAGAAACACCTTAAATAACAAGTCAACTAGAGAGGATGAAATTAAATATACCTATTTAAAGTTTCCCTTCATTATTGAAGAATTTAAATTCATTCTTCCCTTTATTAATGAAGAATTTAGTGTTAAAACGATCAGGAAAGACAATGTCAGAATTCAATTTATTAACAGAAACTCGTCACGTATAGAGTATATGCTCCACCCAGAGAATGGACACATTGCTCTAAAGCAATGTAAATTGTGAAACATGAAATGTACCAATAAAGTCGATAGATGTCTCAACAAGAATGTCGTTTATAAAATTAAGTGCTCATACTGCGAGGCATTATATATAGGAGAAACGGGTAGGACAATAGGAACGCGCATCAAAGAACACCTGGCGATGAAACAGCAAACAGTATATAAACATTTGATGTCCCACAAGAGAAAGAATCAGACACTTGGAAATAAAGAAATTGAATGGAGGGTTATATATGGAAACCTTGTGTATAAAGACGAGCGTAAATGCATTGAGGCGATGGAAATACAGAAGCATATAACATGCTTCTGTATTTCCATCGCCTCAATGCATTAAATCGCCTGTATACAGGCGATTTAATGAATACACGCCATTAAATCGCCTGTATACAGGCGATTTAATGAATGGTTGTACTGGTTGAACAATAACAATCTAACACTTGGTATCATAATTATCAATAGTTTTGACATTTTAACATTTTTTTATCACCAACTGTACATACGTTTAGAATTCAAACAATTAGACTGATTAATATTTTTAACATTTTTTACTACTAACTCTTTAGACTTTTAAATTCAAACAATTAGACTCATTCACTCATCATACTTAATTATACAAATTCTAATTAGGACGACGTGTATAAAAGACGCCTTAATATTGTTGTAAATTTTTCACCCACTGAAGAAGCCTTAACCGGCGAAACGTATATATATATATATATATATATATATATATATATATATATATATATATATATTAAGATGAAAATGTTCTAGAGTGTGTATTATATCATTTCCATACCCAGCGCAAGCCGAAAGATGTTGTCTGCCGCGGCTAGGTCTTGAACCCGCGACCTTTGAATTACTAGATCGACGCTCTATACCAACTGAGCTACACCGTCAGACAGATTTAAGACTGGAAATTATGAAATATTTCATATATATATATATATATATATATATATATATAGATATATATATATATATATATATATATATATATATATATATATATATATATATATATATATATATATATATATATATATATATACATATATGCATATCTTGTTTTACAGCTTGGGTCGTAATAAGCTTGTGCTTTGTGAATTCTGGATTTGCAGGTAAGCATAGTTCATGCAGTAATTTCAACTACATTTTGGTTTGTGAACCTTATATTCATGCCGTATGACCGCCCGTTCCTGGATAATATGTGGGTGTTCCTTTCCTTCAAAACAATCCAGTCTTTAGTGTTTGACGGAAATATTTTCCAAAAGAGCTAAACCGACGTGGGGGGGGGGGTTCTTAACAAAAGTTTGCAGCCATATTTTTCTGCTTTCTTACGTTTTTAATTTCGTCTGCGTGTATGATCTGTCGCATAATAGTGGACTGTTTAATGTATCCTGTACTTAACAATAATTCGCCGAAGACAAAGCGATTACAAGTCTATACAGCCACTGAGCTGAAGTAGCTCAGTGGCTGTAGCTCAGTGGCTGAAGTACCACAGAGAATTGTATAGTAGTTAGAAATTGTGAAGAGAAAAACTCACGCCCAAATTATGAAACGATTTTCGAAACGTTTTTGTCAGCGTATGGTAACATTTCTCACTCACGGCTTTGCGAAATGCAACAATAATATACAGGATGTCTAATAAAACGCTATGGATATTCAGCAGGTTGTCTTGCATCATGAACGTGGTTAAACAATTAAATTGTTACATATGATGAAAGAACAGTGATTTAACTTTTCAACTATACTCTTCTCATATAAATCGTAACGATCAGAAATGGCCACATACTCGTCGCATAGAAATTGCCGGTCGAAATTACATTCTTCCACCCTTGGGAATTGCATGGAAAACGAAACATAGACAAATCATAGCAAGGAATTAAAATTGAATGTTATTTTAAATTATCTAAAATGAGCACAAGTCGTCAGCTTTCGTCTTAGCGAGACAATAACTCAAAAAACATCATTAAACAGTTCAATTAACCCCTGATCAGATAACATTCGTAATTAAAACGATTTACGGAACAAATAGCTTGCAGCGGGCTCGCGTTGCTTTTGGATTGACTAACTTTGCATAATTAATGTATTTTCGATTCCCCACGGTGGAAGAGTGTGATTTCGACAGGCAAATTTTATTTGACGAATATGTAGCCGTTTCTCATCGTTAGAATTTAAAAATGGTATCATGCATAAAAAAACTAAATAACAACTCTTTCGTCCGATGTAAAAATCCAATTGTTTAGTTCAGTTAATGATGCCCGACAGCCTGTTGAATTTCCTCGGCACCTCTGTATATTCAAATAAAGTCAGAAATGCAAACAAAAAATTTAATTAAAATTGGCTAATAGTGCATCGTACGAAAAAAGTTTGCGTATCAATTACCGAATCAGCGAAGTACGCTGCGTTTGGAACAAAGAATTTTGCTTAACCCTTACTTTCGAAAAAACAAATTCGAAAAGACAAGACATCTTGGGAATACAATATATTATTCAATTTAATTAAGATTGTCAACCTGCATGCGTTTTGTCTTAAATCATATACTGTATTCTCAAGATGTCTTTTCTTTTCGGAATTTGTTTTTTACTTGACTTTTTTAAATTGTCACTTGGTCATGGTTTTTTTTTTCTTACCTTCGAAAATAACAGTATCTTGAAAGGTTGGATGAACTTCATTTAAATGTAAAAGATATTATATTGATGCATTCAGGAGCTCGTTTTTATGAAGCTTAATTTTTGGCTAAACCGTCGTTAATTTTCCCGCTATCGAAGAAGCAAAGTAAGGAAGATATTTTGTTTTTCTTAGCGACTTGTCAGTCGACTTCAAATCTCCAAAGTAGCAGTGGGACTATAAGAGGACCGGGGGTACCCTGGCAATTACTCAAACAATGCAGTGTACTGTTGGCGTATCTACGCTCCATCAAACTATGTGGTTAGACTAACTATTAATACGCTCAACATGGAGGTCTGTACCGGATGCAGTTGTGATTCAATTGAGCTGTTCAATGGTTACTCAGAATCATCATCAAGGATTGGAAAAGTATGTTCTAAAAGTGGGCGCGTAACATCTTCTGGGCGGTATCTTTTTGTTAAATTTACGTCAGATGCCACAGGAACTGGGGCTGCTTTCACAGCATCGTATTACAGACTTTATAAAGGTAAGAGTAATGTTATTATTTTTTTTCTAAGACCTAGAAGGTGCCCGCGAACGAGAAATATTTTTGCAGTTTGTCTAAGATTCAGGCATACCGTTTCTTCAGGATATAATTATTAACCAATGCTCCTAAATTAAAGGAATGCCTTAGCTGGACTTGTACCAAGTCTTCGATAAGTACATATTTAGATCAGTGCAATGACGGCTGTGGCTCATTATCGGAACGAAGAAGAAAACAATGTCAACCGGTAGGTCGATCTCAAACAAACATGGCATGG